CCCCATACATCCTTATCACCAATCTTCCAATCATGCTCCTTCCAAGTCCCAGACCATCCAGCTAAGCCATTAGCCACAGCCCGTGAATCTGTGTATAATCATACCTCTGGCCATTTCTTGTTCCATGCAAAATGAACAGCCATATGCATATAAAAACATTTGTCTGGGAGTAAGAAAATGTGGCTTTGATCCCTGGCTCTGGTACTGACTTGGTACTGACTTAAAAATTACTGTAGGCAAAGCTTTTCTGAGCCTTTTGTTAGACCTAGCTTGCTTATCCCAAGGCCACTTTCATCTCCAACTCTCTCAGTTCTCATTGCTGTTAGCTGATGTCTTAGTTCTTCCTAATTTTGAGGGTTCAGTCTGGAGCTAGATAAAATTTGGCTTTCTTTTCCCTTTTCTTTTCATCTTTGTGCTTCTTTACTGTTTTCTTTGAGCTTTTATCCTCCTTTTATATTAGATAAATGACTCTAAGCCTATATTGCATATTTTATGAAGATCATTTATTATAAGTGTAGATATTTTTCTGAAATTGCCTTTCTGCAATTAATAGTTTACTTATTTTGTTATAAGCCTGGATTTGATTTTATTAGTTAGGTTTACTAGAATTAGAATAGATTTGGAACATTTTAAAATGGAAAGTCAAAAACAGTGATTATAATCTAAAGATAATATCAGAATCTCAGAGGGGGAAGAGTTTGGAAAAGTTTAGTCTATATGCATTTTTTAAAAAATACAAGTACACAAAGGCGCTCTGGTGGTGTAGCAGTGAAACCATTTGGCTGCTAACCAAAAGGTTGGCAGTTCGAACCCACCAGGTGCTTTGTGGGGGAAAGATGAGTCAGTCTACTTCTATAACAATTTGTAGTCTAGGAAACCCTATGAGGCAGTTCTACTGTGTCCTAAAAAGGGTCACTATGAGTCAGATTTGACAATGGCAGTAGGTTTGGTGGGTTTTTAAGGACACAAAGTTTCACTAAACATAATATAAGCTGCAAAAAAGAACTGTACGGGTATGGATTTGATATGGTTGGAAAATATGAACTGTTAAAGAGATTCATTTTGTTTGGTCTTTGAAAATGTAACATTTAAACTTTGAGGTTACAGTAGCAATTATTCAGCCTCCATAGATAGGGGTTAAATTCAATACTACTTTTGAGTTTTAGAAACAAAATTGTTCTAAGTTTTCAAATTTTATGTGGAGATTTCAGCTCTGAAATCTAAGGAGCTCTGGTGGCACAGTGCCTAAGACATTTGACTACTAATCAGAAGGTTAGTGATTCGAAGGCACTAGCTGCTCAGTGGAAGGAAGATGGGGCAATCTATTTCTGTAAAGATGTACCACCTTGGAAAGCCAGTGGGGGTCGCTGTGAGTTATAATGGACTCAGTGACAGTGAGTTTGGTTTTTTGGTGAGTTACAGTGCTAGGATAGTAAATGAATATTTTCACCTCCTCTCTCTGCTTCAATAATTGTCTGACTGGTAGTAGAAGGAATACAGCTACCATCACCACCTGTTTTGCTCTGGTGGCATAGTGCCTAAGGCATATGACTGCTAACCAGAAGGCTGGCGGTTCAAATCCACCAGCCACTCATTGGAAGGAAGATTGGGCAATCTGCTTCTGTAGAGATACCACCTTGGAAACCCAAGGAGGGGTCGCTATGAGTCAGGATCAACTTGATGGCAGTGAGTTTGGTTTTTTTTTTTGTTGTTTGAGGAA